GCCTGGCAGTCCAAATGGAAGATTCTTGTGGTATCTCTCCCTATTCTCTTCAAACGCACTATAACCAAGGGCCACACCAAGATAAAGGCAGAGCAAAGACCTGCCTATGAGAAAACAGAACTCATGTTTAAGAAACTCTATCTTTGCCCAGTTTCAGGGAGAAAGCAGACTCTAAACTAGACTCGTTATTAGGATGTTTAATGTTCCTTGAAGGCACTCTAGTGGCCTAGTGGCAAGAAGCTGTGTTGCAATCTTGAAGGCATGCAGTTCGAGTCTACCAGCTGCTCGGCAGGAGAAGGATGGGCAATCTCCTCCTGTGAGATTAACGCCTTCTGAAAACTCATCGGAGAGCCGATACACAACAACAACAACAACAACATTCTACGTCTTGCAATTCTTTTGGGATGGAGTCTAATCTTAAGGATAAATAAGCTTGGAAGTGGAAAATAATTGAATGATGATACAATAAACCTGAGTGAGGGACGCCTGGATGGCCTGTTTTTCTCTCACTGACTGGACCTGAGAAGATATTAGCTTTGGTGCCATGTCATCAATTTGGAACAACTCAGGGCCTGAAACTCTTAGAGTCCCCACAGGGGGACTAGTTTGATCTGGCCTGACTGTAAGGGAGCTCTAGTGGCAAGAAGCTCCGCTGCAATCCCAAAGGCATGCAGTTCGAGTTCACCAGCTGCTCCAAGGGAGAAGTATGGGCAATCTCCTCCTGTGCAATTATTAACTGCCTCTGAAAACCCACCATACAGCTATGGGTCAGTTCCGACTCAATAGTACACACCACCACCACCTCCACAATGTAGTCTAAAGAGCTCCCTATCCAAATATTAAAAGGAAGAAATTCCACATTCCATGATTTGTTCTACAGACCAGGATAGTCTTGGATACATCAGCAAATAGAACTCATGCACAAGAGAATAGCTCAATTGTTTGTAATGGAGTAGATTGTAGCAGTTCAAACACAGACACATATAGATACTTCATGGATGTATAAGAGAATGCACAGGTAGTGAACAAGGCTTGGTGCCTGGTAATAGCATACTCCTGAATGCTGGCATGATGGACATTCCAGATGACCCACATGCCTTAAGTCCTGATCATATTCAAGAAAGAGAGGTTGATGATCCATATGCTTCCATCAAACCAGGCACCATCCATCTCATTCCTCCAAAAGATGCAAACTCAGATTCTCAATATAAAATACTGGCCAAAACATGGCAAACCCATCCATTGTATCCCTCTCTACATTTCTGTAGAGTAGTCTTGAGATAGGTTAAAAAATAAGTCCTATTTTTCTCTATAATTCTATTTCTCAGGTGGGAAAAAAATCACTTATCAGTTTGAATCAACACATCCATTCATTTGACAAATAGTTTTGAGACATTGCAATGTGCCAAGAACTGTGGTTAATCCTGGAGATACAATGGTGAGTGAGACTAATACTGTCTTGTTTATACAGAGTTTGAGAGAGAGGATAGGTGGTCATGTTGTTGTTATGTGCCATCTAGCAGAATATGACTCGTAGTGACCCTATCTATGAACAACAGATCCAAAATCTGTCCTGTTCTTCCATCCTCATCATCTCTGACATACTTGAGTCCATTGCTACAGTCACTGTTAATCTAATTCATTGAGGGTCTTCCTCTTTTTCATTGACACTCTCTACCTTTCCTAGCATGATGTTCCTTTCTAAGAAAGAGCCCTTCCTAGCAACATACCTGAAGTATGTGAGACAAAGTTTTACCATCCTTGCCTCCAAAGAGCACTCTGGCTGCATCTTCTCCAAGACATATCTAATTTTTTTTTGGCAGTTTATGGGATATTCGCTCTTCTCCAACACCACAACTCAAAGGCATATTTTTTTTCTTCTGTCATCTTTATTCATTGTCCAGATTTCAGTTGCACAGCAAGTGCTTGAAAGACCCTGGCCTGAATCAGGTGCACTGTTGTCTTCAAACTGACATTGCTCCTTAGTACTGTGGACGTAATCATTGGAAGCACACGTTTTAGATGGTCAAGGAAAGAGAAGGCAACTACTAGAGAAGGAGAAGTGGGAGTTAACTAATATACAGATAAAATGGAAAGTGTTCCAGAAAAAGATAGTAGCTTTTAAAGTCTACTGACATAATGACAGACAGGTCTAGGAAGGGTGTTACCTCTCTGGTTGAATCATCTGTCCTAGTTCCTAACTTGTAAATGGAAGTTTTTTGATCCAGGGACTCTATTATCAGTCTTAATCAAGTGAACTGTATTTTTAAAAAATATTTTTCTATTGTTGAGAATATATACAGAAAAACGTGCACCAATTCCACAGTTTCTACATATACAATTTAATGACACTGATTACATTATTTGAGTTGTGCAACCATTCTTCCCTTTTCTGGCTTTTTCTTCTCTTATTGAGATAAACTCACTACCCTGTAACATTTCTAACTAATCTTTGTGTTGGTGCTGTCATACTGATGCTATATACATGGTTCTTAAAAGAATGTAATGTTCAAGGCAACATTTTCTTTTTTTCTAAACTGATCTACTGTTTGGGTTTAAGAAGATGTCAAGGGATAATTTGGTTTAAGGTTTAAAGATTCTCAGGTCAATTGTTTCAGGATTTCATCCAGCTTTTAGGGCTCTAGAAAGGCTAGAGTACTTGTTTTACATTGCCCACTTTTAGCAGGATTCTTGTACAGAATCTTTGACCAAAATGTTCAGTAAGAGTAGCTGGGAACCATTTATCCTGGTCTCATTACAGTGAGGCAGTTGTTTATGGAGACAATTAGCTATGTGTTCCATATCCTTTCCCTATGCCCGTCTCTCCTTCAGCTGCTGCTCCAGGAGAATAGAGGGACCAACTGGTAAACCATTCACAATGATTTTAACTCTTTAAGACCTGGGGAATGGCAGAAGTACTAAGCACATTATTAGGCCAATTAACTGGGAAGTCCTGTGAAACCATATCTCTAACTCTTCAAGCTGAAGAATCAAATCTCAAGGATTGTGGTTGTATGCAATCAACATTAGTACCTATGTTTTTGTTTTCTTATATTGTAAATATAGCTATTACACAACTTTTGTGGCTTTATCTTTTTAGAATTGTATAGTTCAACTGACAGCAATTAAAAGAGCCAGATGTTGCACTCTTTCTTAATGCAAATCCTCCTGCCCCATCATCATTAATCTGTCTCCTTTCCTCTCTTTCCTTTCTAAAACATATATCTATTGATTTGATTTATTTTTTGTCTTTGAAGTTATATTTACAGTATTTGTCCTTTTGTGAGTGTCAGATGAACTTTTTATCCAGAACTTAGGAAAAGCCTTGAGAAGAAATTGATCTAAATTACAGGTGATTTCAAGTTATGAGGTATAACTGAAATGGAGAGCTCTGAAACAACACACACTATAATAATGGTCTTAATCTGACAGGGGGGAAATGCCATGAAGATAATGTAAATTTCCCCATTTAAGTCTAAAATCAGCTGTAGTTCTAGAAAAGAATATTGTTGTTGTTAAATGCTGTCGAGTCATAGAAAATTCATAGCGACTCTATGAATGAAAGACCTGAATGAACACTTGTATAACTTTCGTGGTTTCTCCACATTCATAGAGTTTCTGGAGGCAAGCTATTTTGGAAGTGGATGCCTGTGGGGAGCCGTCCTTGAGGCTCCTGATCTGAGGTCTAAGTTGCTCCATGTTGTTTATGAAATGCCATTTCATGAAAGCCTGCCTGACACATACGCAGGCAAGGTCAGCCCAGGGCTATGCCACCCATAAACAGCCACAGCTGTGTTTCTTCCTGATAGGCTTCCAGCAGTCAGGTATCCATAGCAACCCTGCTTACATAGGTGCCCTTATAGTTTCCTATATAAACTCTGTGAAAAGTTTCAATAAAGGAGACTTGATCAGAAAGCCTGTCTTGTCTCCATTCTTCACGCCACTTGTCCCTTTTCAGCCCCACTCCCCCTCTTAGGTCCACCTCGATACCCTGTGGGCCGGGGCAGATGCCACTCCTGCTTCCAAGCTTGTTTTAGTTGAGGCATTCCACCAAACACTGTCCATGATGGGTAACCATTATCACATTTGACAGATCAGTGTCACAGTGTTTAGCATCACAGCAACCATGAGTAACCTCTGTACAGACCAGTGCTATACCACTTAGAAGAATGTTTGACTAAAAACAATTAAAACCAGGCTTGAGGGACACAGGTTAAAATCACCCACCTTTGACTTGGTAGCATAACTTTTTATCCACCAGGCCCACAGAGCTCTCTCTAGGTTGTTGTTGTTGCTGTTGTTTGCGACTTATAGCGACCCTATGCACAACAGCCCTAAACCCTGCTCTATCGTGCGCCAACTGTACTGCCTCCGACACACCCATCCCGATTACCCCAGTCACCGAATCAATCCATCTCATAGAGGGTCTTCCCCTCCTGCGCTGTCCCTC